TTGTGTTTTGACTTGCTACAAATATTTGTTCAAATGTATCACGTAGCCAATAAACTATTCTATTCTATTCTATTCTATTCTATAACCCTTATGTGACTGAAAAGGTACCTGGGTAACTTTTGTTGTTTTCAATAATGTTATTTTATAGAATTTAAAGTCGCCTTGAATTCAGATTCCGTGACATCTCTAAGATAGTCTTGTAGTACACTTTGTACCTTTTTTTAGATTTTTTTTGTCATTGTTGCACGTAAATAATAAATCTGAAGTTCTTACATCTTCTAATGACGTTGTAGGCACCCGGGTACTTTTATAGATTTTGCGCACAATAAGATGAACTACAAGTTATTTATTGAAAGAAAATACATATAGAGAAACATGTAATGTAAATGAAACCTAAAAAAGTACGTAAGATACATATAATGTAAATCGACCCTAAGACAACGTAAAACCAGTTTTCTGGTTTTACGTTGTCTTTGATTGAATTGTCGACAAGCAGTGCAACTACCAACTACAGGAATACGATCAGAATCATCACGAGATGGCTCATCCCTGACAACTGGTTGGATTATGTGCCGACCAAGAACTATTTCCATTGAGCTGCGTACGAAAGGTTTCGCAACCACTTTAGAAATGGTAATGCGACTTTCTATAGCAGGAATACATAACTGCTTTTGAAGATCTTTCAGGAATTTCCGTCGCTTATCAGTCGATTTAAACCTTGGGTTGTGCTCCATATATATTATATATGCGCACAAGGCAGCAACATCAACCATATTGTAAAAAAACGCTAATGGCCAACGATTTGTTTTGTGTTTGACTGTATACTCCGTCAACAGCTTGTCCATCACATCGACGCCTCCTTTCGTTTTGTTGTAGTATTTGATAATGATTGGTTTTGCAGTGGCCGTTTGCTCTACTTCGTCTGTCATATGCATTGATGATAAGAGGATTACTGATTTTTTTTGGCACATATGAATATACAGTTAATTATTTTGTAAATGCAAAATTTGTTGAATAAATGGCTCTATCTTTAGACGCCTGCATATTAGGAGGCAAAAACGTTTTGTTTTTTCTTACAGTTCCCACTAACGTCAAATCCCACGACATCAAGTTATGAGCCAGTTGCAAACTTGTGAAGAAATTGTCTGCTGTGACATTTCTACCAGAACCTTTATAGGAAGCAACTAAATCTAGAACTGTACGCTCCCCAACGTTTACTTGGCGTTCGCCGTCTGGTGGCTTCCCACAGTAAACTTGACTTTGAAAAGATAAGCATTGGAAGCATCGCAAGCCCAAAAAATGTTTATGCCATATTTTGCCGGTTTCGAAGGTATGTACTGGGTAAACTTTGTGTGTCCTCTAAAAGGAAACAATTGTTCATCAACTGTTATGCATTCATATGGCTTATGATTTTTTTTCCAAGTTCCTGTTCAGCATTGTCCAAATATCGCGAATTGGAGCGAGTTTGTCTATTTTTGCACGTTCAGCACGTGTGTTTTGGTTATCAAATCGAATAAACCTTAGAAACATTTTGAACCGATTCCGACTCATAGCCGCACGAAAAAGAGATAAGGAATCCGTCTTCCACATTTCAGTGATATGTTCCCTATTAGATTTATGCACACCAGCTGCAAGAAGGATTCCTAAAAATGCTTCAAATTCGTTGTCAGTAAATGGCTTGAAAACCTTTGGTGATGGTCGTTCAGAAGCTTTGTACCTTTGAATTAGTTTAGCATTGTTGGTTTTAAGAATTTCTTTAGCCGTAAACAAAGCACTGAAAGCTGCTGCTCCACCTTTTTGACGCAAGATATTACGACTAAGTGTTTGAGCTTGTGGATGTGGAGTATCACGCCACTGAGTACTATTTTTGCTTACAAAAACTACAGGTTGTGTGAGCGCTGGTTCCTCTTCAATACTTTCATCCGAATCATATTCTTCCTCTTGCTCAATTACAGGTTCATTTTCTACATCAGATTCCTCGCATTCTGNAATCTGGATGAAATCCAAATCTGGATTCGTCTGTAAACAAAACTGTGGCCCAATCATTTGCATCCCAGTTTTGATGTTCTAGACACCACTCTAATCTTCTACCGCGATTGCCTCTCTGATTAACAGGCAATGAAACCAATTTGGGCAGATATGTCTACTACAACGGTTCCATGTCGGATCATGGGAAGGACTTAGCTTCAACTCTTATTGTCACCATAGCGAATTCGATTATACTTCCTCAGTATTTCAGAAAGAATAGTAATCGACAACACAAATTGCAGATAGATGAAATTGAAAAAAATACACGATAATTGTGAAGGAAAAAGTAGTGACCTGGGTAATTTGTCTTCAGGAAAGAATGGTTATGGTTGTCTCCAGTGTAATGAACTAGCTGCTACCAGATTTTGAACCATGATTGACATAAAGTACTGGTATTTGTAGTTAAACTAGTTACCCTATTCTAGAGCAAATTCAAAAATATATTGAGGAGTACGTGCAGCTAACTCTAAATTTTATAACTAGATCAACAGAGAAACTGGAGCTCAACATCTATCCCAGTCGACCACATTAGCATTCACTTGAAAGAAATATATAGAGTTAGGTTAGGTTCGGTTAGGTCCGAAGTGATTGGGTCTATTCGATCCTCCACCGCAACCCGCAAGGGTTTATTGTGACTCACACTCGACCGAATAAACCCAGCTACTTAACGGAGCCGATTAGTTTGTATGGTTAGTGGTCTTTCAGGTCGGTTGGTAAGTGTACGGATCTGCCAGTGGGAAAGGCATAAATTATATGCTCTGCTATTTCAACATTTTCCTGGCGTGAGAGTGAACCGTGATCAACCATATATAGGAACTATAAATTCTAAGAGTTCGTAGTGTATATATACAATTGTGGAGGGGCATAAAGTATCTTGGAATTGTACTAGATGTCAGCAATTAGAAAGAAAATAAAATGTTGAAAGAGATAGAAAAAGAAGCGAATGTTGTTTCACGGAGTCTATCTAGACACACCTACAATAACAAATGGTGGCCGAATATATATCTGACATGCTTGTTTGGCTATAATGAAGCCAATGATAACCACACCAACAACAACATTGTTGACACTGCTCTGAATATATTTCTTTTACATTTTGTAATAATGAAAAAGTTTAAAATAACTTCACCTGTGTATAGGTAACAACTGATTTAAAATCATTTTGATTCATTGGAATGTATCTTTTCAACTTCTGCAACGCGTTAACAGAAAAATCTGGAATTTGGACCTGGACCTTTTTCAGTAAAACTCGTCAACTCACCCGATAACGCACTATTATGAGAATAATCATCTACTTTTTTCAGTGGAAAGCTCACGAAGCTTTAGTTCTTTGCTTAGCCTGGAGTGCTGCCTCGGACCTGATAGTATCAGGAGGAGAAGACTGCAAATACAGGGTGTGGGACAACCAAGGACGACAAATGTATTCTAGCAGTCTGCACGGGAACCATATAACATCCATATCTTGGTCTCCAGCTGGTGACATATTTGCTATTGGATCATTCAATACCTTGAGGCTATGTGATTATTCAGGGGTGAGTATAATTTCGGAATAAATACATAATCGTTATTACCGCCTGAATAATAGAAATATTATATATAT